ATGACCCAAACAAATTGACGTTTGTGCAGTATACGAGAATAAAAATCCGGGTTGACTTAAAGGAACTATGACTCGATTTTAGGTATATTTATTAGCTCAAATTCATTAATCAATTAAGAAAAATCCTTTAGTCATTAATTATTTTATTAAAACTTATTTACAAACACAAGTCAAAACAAACGGTTAGGAAAAACACATAGAGTATGCACAAGCAAAGAATGCACAAGTAGTCAAGTAGTCACAATATGATGCAATGAGTTTGCAACCTAACCATGGCTCTAGTTCTCTAAAGTTCGGGATATGGGTTAGTCAAAGAGGGTCCATGGTTAATTGTCCGGATGCACCGCACGGAAGCCTAACCGTGAAGGGTTGGCGCGAGTGGATGGGACACCGCGAGTTTAGAAAAACTCGCTTCCATGGTTTGATGAATTCAACATTCTCGGATGTACCCTTTGTTGCACAGAGCGTTCAATCAAGTAGATGGAGCATGAATTTCCAAAGGGTTATGTCCATATGTAGAACACATATGGGTTTCAGAAAAGTGAGAAAAACTCAATCAGGAAGTAGGATCGAGCAAACAGTGCTAAAAACTAGTCAAAATTAGAAAGCATATTTCTGGCTCGGTATTGAAAGAACTTGGCGCCAGCAAACAGAGGCCAGCGCCACAATTTGGCTTTAGCGCCTGGAAACAGAAGTTGTCGCCTGGCGCTAACGTCAAATAATTGGCGCTACACTTTGTTCGCTAACGCTAGTTCCTACATGCCTCAGCAGCTTACTGTGCTCGATAAAATTTTCCAGTTCCTAGTTGTGAAAGATATTCCTCTAATTTCCTACGTGTAAAAATCCTATGTTTTAACTCATTACGGATGATATTTCCAATGAGATCTTTTTTATGCTTATGACAATAATGTTAATCAAAATTACACACATGAAATACTTAGAACTTTTCGAGTCTCATCCACTCATTCTAAATCATTGCCAAAATAAATTTCAGGAATTAAAATAGAAATCCTCCCAAGGGAGTTGCCAAAAACTGTAGGGAATATTTCAAGCATTACCCCTAGCTTGAACCCCACTGTGATCATACACTAAAGTACGGTGGCGTCCAAAGGGAAAGAAGATAGAGTAAAAGACTTGCCAACAAGTTTTAGGAACTTGTAAACCGTTCACGAGGTGAAGGTTACACCCCTTAACGATCCGGGAGATCGTCAACTCCAATAGGTCTGGAACCATGACTGGTAGTTCGGGGATGAAGGTACAAAACCAACCTAAAAGAGATTGAACCTGCTCTAATAATAGGCCTCTACTTTATTCTGATCGTATTCATGTGCGCTTTCTGACTAACATGCAATCAATAGGTTTACCCTAAACCTGTTTAATCTATGTTAGTTGAATATTAATGCACAAATAAAACTATTATTGGCAATCACTTGAATTATAATCAAATTAACCCTAAACAAGATTATTAATTATCTTATAAAGCGTGATTACAAGTACAAATTCCCTTTAAACATGCATAAAAGGTGCGGCTATTTCACCAAATGCCACTAACAAATTTAAAAATTCATTAAATGCCATCGCACTTTTCAGAATTCACCAAATGCCACTCAGTTTTTTAAAAATTCACCGAGTGCCATTAATGACCAACGGCCGTTAACTCCGTTAGTCATTAGGGGTTATCACGACACATGTCATGATATTATTGGTCCATTTATCTTTATTAATAAAAATTAAAAAAAAAAAGCTGAAAATATAAAAAAAAATCAGAAAATAAAAAAAAAACCCCCTAAATTATTTCAAAAACCCCGACCAGCCAAAACCCCCATCAGCCACAACCACCCTCCCCGCCGTCGTTCCCGCCGTCCCAGCTACTGGATTCTATTGTCCCACAGCACCGACGCCGCCCAAGAAGCTCTCCCGCAGCGCCGACCACCTAGAAGCTCCCTCGCAGCGCCGACGCCGTTCCTCCCCCTCCCCTCCCACGAAACTCCCTCCCCACCACCACGAAACCCAGTCCTCAACCCTCAAAATCCTTTCTCTGTCCCGATCCCAGCACCCTTCCCTTCCCCAATCCCTTTTCCGGCTACCTCCCCTTCCCCACGCTCTGATTTCGACCCTTATCCCCTTCTAACTTGGCGATTTTGGACCTCCTCCTCTTCACAACCTTGATTTCGTTAATGGGTGTGGTGGGTAAACGGGTAGGGGAGGGTTGGAAAGCAGCTCCGAGTTGGAGAACGACGCGGCAAATCTGGCTGCTCTGGGCCTCGTCTGGCTGGTGGTAGGGGTGGCGAGGTGGTTGAGGTCACGGTGGGGCTAGGGTCTGGGGTTAATTTTAGGTTTTACAGGGTCAGGGAAGTTTGTGTGGGTGGTTTTTGGGGTCGACGGTGGGTCAGATGCGGCGCAAAAGGGTCGGCCGGTCGATTTTCGGTGGTTAAGGTGGTGGCCGACCGTTTTCCGGCGATATAAGGGGAGGGGCTAGGGTTTGGCGGTGGTAGGGGTGGCTGGGAAAATTTTGGGGTTTTTTTTTATTTTAATTTTCTGTTTTTTTTATAATTATTTTCTAATTATTTTCAGCTTTTTTTTAATTTTTATTAATAAAGATAAATGGACCAATAATATCATTACATGTGTCATGATAACCCCTAATGACTAACGGAGTTAACGGCCGTTGGTCATTAATGGCACTCGGTGAATTTTTAAAAACTGAGTGACATTTGGTGAATTCTGAAAAGTGCGATGGCATTTGATGAATTTTTAAATTTGTCAGTGGCATTTGGTGAAATAGCCGTAAAAGGTGTGATCAAGCAATAAGAATAATTATCAAGTAACATAATTATCATCATAAAAATAATAATAATAATAATAATAATAATAATAATAATAAATCATAATCATGTTAAAGCATAATAATAATAGTAAGATCCTAGGCATGATACTAACAAGATTAATAGCAAACCCTAGCATGTCACTAGACATCAAAGATCAAAGCTTTAACCCTAACATGATACTAACATGATATTAGGAAGAAAATAGGAAGCATCACAATTGTCATATTTGATATTAGAAATTATAGTTGTTACCCTAAACATGATACTAAGAAGATCAAAACGTCCTAACATGACGCTAGGAATCATAATAACAACCTAAGCATGACTTCTATACCATAATATCAATGCAAATACCATAATATCAATGCAAATAATTAAAGCACTTACTTGGATGCCTCGTACCTCTTTCTAATAACAAAATACACGCGTTAGTAACTTCAAGGAAAATAATAAACAAATAATTAAATCAAATAATTGAAAGAGAGATTTGGGACCAAACCCTCTGAAATATCAAACCTTTCGCGTCTAGGGCGAAGGCAACTTCGAACAATGCTAGGTATGTCTAGTGCTAATGTATGAGAAATTGTGTTTGTAAAAAGGATTGGTTTAGAAAAAGAGAGAGAATCAAGAAATTCTTGATAAGAGTTGGTGAGAAAGAATTAGAGAATTGATGGAATTGATGAAAACTGATAGAGAGAATTGATTATTGATGAGAATTGATGATTGTAGATGAGAATTGGTGATTGAAAACGGAGTTTTTAGGAGGCTATTTATAGAGAAAATCAGCCAAAAAGATAGAAAATCGAACCAGAGTTCTGACGCGAAAAAACGGAGTTAGCGCCAGACGCTAACGCTAGCGCCAGGCGCTAATGTCTGGTGTTAGGCGCTAATTAGAGTTTTGACGCGTATTCTAAAATCAGATAGAATTTAACCGTACAGGAGGATAAAATCGTATTTTCCTCAAAAACACTCCTTAATTCTAATTAAAATTCCAAAAAGTAAAAAAAAGTCAATTTATCAATACTAATTGAATTATGAATGATAAATCCATATTAGGCCCTCCTCTAGATCATTGGGCCGCATATAAGGTTCAAATCGGGCCCAGTTTAGTAATTTGGCCATAACTTCCTCATTATTCATTGGAATTAGGCTTATAATATATCGTTGGAAAGGTCTTTTCAAGCCCTATCCAACTACACTATTAATGGACCCATATCATGGACCAACCAAACTGGATTGGCTGTTTTCTTCAAATAGGTTTTCAAAATCAAAGAGAAGAGAAAATAAATTAAAACTATCCACAACACTAGATTTTCCACACTTTCACCTCATTTGATTATGGTTCGACGTGAAAGGTACTCATCACCGGGTTTGGTTTTGGGGAGACACAAATGGGTCTCTACACCATCCAAATAGCAAAAGATCTTATGATTAGCTAACCTCTCAAGCATTTGATCTATAAAGGGAAGGGGGAAGTGGTCCTTTTTAGTGGTGATATTCAGTCTACGATAATCAATACACATACGCCACCCTGTTACAGTTTTAGTGGGAATTAATTCATTTTTTTTCATTAGTGATCACAATCATCCCACCTTTTTTAGGCACTACCTGCACAGGACTTACCCACTTGGAGTCAGAAATAGGATAGATAATACCTGCATCAAGTAATTTCTTAACCTCTTTATTGACTACTTCCTGCATGTTAGGATTCACTAGGCGAAAATTGCTAATGGCCACCGGTTGAAAACCCCCCATTGCCACCGGTTTTGAACCGGTGGTCATTTGGGGGGTGGAAATAAAGCATCGCATGGCCACCGGTTCAAAACCGGTGGCAATAGTCTTCATGGCCACCGGTTAACCGATGGTAATAATAATTATGGCTACCGGTTAACCGGTAGCAATAAAAAATGGCGCGGTTTTTTTTTGCTGTTTAAGGCTGACTATTGCCACCGGTTTGAACCGGTAAACTGGTGGCAATAAAAGGATCTAAATTTTTTTTTTCCTGCAATTATTCCTACAACTGATCCTACTATAATATTCTGCCATATTATTGCTATAAATTCTGCCATAATATAATTATTATTAATAATCATAACAAGAATTAAAAATATATATTTAGACTTTTATAATTAAAAACCAAATGCAATACAACAAATTAAATAAAGTGTGATATATAAATAAATACAAACAATACTAATAAGTAGTCAATATTGTAGTTTAAAAGTTAACAATTAACAAAGTATAAATTCAAAATGATGCCACATTTACAAATTGAAGGTGATGAAAAATGCCAATATGTCTCGAACTTCATTAAGCTCCTTGATTGTTAACGGATCTCCCTTTTGCACCTTGCAAAACTTAGAATATATATAAATTATGTTAGAATAAATTATATTAATATGTAAACAATTAAATACTTGGGAAAATTAAAAACAGTCGTATTTTCATCCAAAATAGCCAAAATAAGGCCTATTTGACTTCTACTTGCCCATTTTCTACATTTTTAAACAAATGACCAAGTTCTTTCCCATAACATGTCAATTATACTTAGTTATAGGTGGCTAAGCCTTGAAATCACAGAAAAAGGGCATTTTACTAAGTTTAAGGTCGCATTTTCATCCAAAATACCCAAAATAAGGCCTATTTGACTTCTACTTGCCCATTTTCTACATTTTTAAACAAATGACTAAATTCTTTCTCATCACATGTCAATTATACTTAGTTATAGGTGGCTAAGCCTTGAAATCACAGAAAAATGGCATTTAACTAAGTTTAAGGTCACATTTTCATCCAAAATAGCCAAAATAAGGGCTATTTGACTTCTACTTGCCCATTTTCTACATTTTTAAACAAATGACCAAGTTCTTTCTCATTACATGTCAATTATACTTAGTTATAGGTGGCTAAGCCTTGAAATCACAGAAAAATGGCATTTTACTAAGTTTAAGGTCACATTTTCATCCAAAATAGCCAAAATAAGGCCTATTTGACTTCTACTTGCCCATTTTCTACATTATTAAACAAATGACCAAGTTCTTTCACATAACATGTCAACTATAGTTAGTTATAGGTGGCTAAGCCTTGAAATCACAGAAAAAGGGCATTTTACTAAATTTAAGGTCGCATTTTCATCCAAAATAGCCAAAATAAGGCCTATTTGACTTCTACTTGCCCATTTTCTACATTTTTAAACAAATGACCAAGTTATTTCTCATAACATGTCAATTACACTTAGTTATAGGTGGCTAAGCCTTGAAATCATAGAAAAAGGGCATTTTACTAAGTTTAAGGTCGCATTTTCATCCAAAATACCCAAAATAAGGCCAATTTGACTTCTACTTGCCCATTTTCTACATTTTTAAACAAATGACCAAGTTCTTTCCCATAACATGTCAATTATACTTAGTTATAGGTGGCTAAGCCTTGAAATCACAGAAAAAGGGCATTTTACTAAGTTTAAGGTCGCATTTTCATCCAAAATAGCCAAAATAAGGCCAATTTGACTTCTACTTGCCCATTTTCTACATTTTTAAACAAATGACCAAGTTCTTTCTCATAACATGTCAATTATACTTAGTTATAGGTGGCTAAGCCTTGAAATCACAGAAAAAGGGCATTTTACTAAGTTTAAGGTCGCATTTTCATCCAAAATAGCCAAAATAAGGCCTATTTGACTTCTACTTGCCCATTTTCTACATTTTTAAACAAATGACCAAGTTCTTTCCCATAACATGTCAATTATACTTAGTTATAGGTGGCTAAGCCTTAAAATCACAGAAAAAGGGCATTTTACTAAGTTTAAGGTCGCATTTTCATCCAAAATAGCCAAAATAAGGCCTATTTGACTTCTACTTGCCCATTTTCTACATTTTTAAACAAATGACCAAATTCTTTCTCATAACATGTCAATTATACTTAGTTATAGGTGGCTAAGCCTTGAAATCACAGAAAAAGGGCATTTTACTAAGTTTAAGGTCGCATTTTCATCCAAAATAGCCAAAATAAGGCCTATTTGACTTCTACTTGCCCATTTTCTACATTTTTAAACAAATGACCAAGTTCTTTCTCATAACATGTCAATTATACTTAGTTATAGGTGGCTAAGCCTTGAAATCACAGAAAAAGGGCATTTTACTAAGTTTAAGGTCGCATTTACATCCAAAATACCCAAAATAAGGCCAATTTGATTTCTACTTGCCCATTTTCTACATTTTTAAACAAATGACCAAGTTATTTCACATAATATGTCAATTATACTTAATTATAGGTGGCTAAGCATTGAAATCACAGAAAAAGGGCATTTTACTAAGTTTAAGGTCGCATTTTCATCCAAAATAGCCAAAATAAGGCCTATTTGACTTCTACTTGCCCATTTTCTACATTATTAAACAAATGACCAAGTTCTTTCACATAACATGTCAACTATATTAGTTATAGGTGCTAAGCTTGAAATCAAGAAAAAGCATTTACTAAATTTAAGTCGCATTTTCATCAAAATACAAAATAAGGCTATTTACTTCTACTTGCCATTTTCTACATTTTTAAACAAATGACCAAGTTATTTCTCATAACATGTCAATTACACTTAGTTATAGGTGGCTAAGCCTTGAAATCATAGAAAAAGGGCATTTTACTAAGTTTAAGGTCGCATTTTCATCCAAAATACCCAAAATAAGGCCAATTTGACTTCTACTTGCCCATTTTCTACATTTTTAAACAAATGACCAAGTTCTTTCCCATAACATGTCAATTATACTTAGTTATAGGTGGCTAAGCCTTGAAATCACAGAAAAAGGGCATTTTACTAAGTTTAAGGTCGCATTTTCATCCAAAATAGCCAAAATAAGGCCAATTTGACTTCTACTTGCCCATTTTCTACATTTTTAAACAAATGACCAAGTTCTTTCTCATAACATGTCAATTATACTTAGTTATAGGTGGCTAAGCCTTGAAATCACAGAAAAAGGGCATTTTACTAAGTTTAAGGTCGCATTTTCATCCAAAATAGCCAAAATAAGGCCTATTTGACTTCTACTTGCCCATTTTCTACATTTTTAAACAAATGACCAAGTTCTTTCCCATAACATGTCAATTATACTTAGTTATAGGTGGCTAAGCCTTAAAATCACAGAAAAAGGGCATTTTACTAAGTTTAAGGTCGCATTTTCATCCAAAATAGCCAAAATAAGGCCTATTTGACTTCTACTTGCCCATTTTCTACATTTTTAAACAAATGACCAAATTCTTTCTCATAACATGTCAATTATACTTAGTTATAGGTGGCTAAGCCTTGAAATCACAGAAAAAGGGCATTTTACTAAGTTTAAGGTCGCATTTTCATCCAAAATAGCCAAAATAAGGCCTATTTGACTTCTACTTGCCCATTTTCTACATTTTTAAACAAATGACCAAGTTCTTTCTCATAACATGTCAATTATACTTAGTTATAGGTGGCTAAGCCTTGAAATCACAGAAAAAGGGCATTTTACTAAGTTTAAGTCGCATTTACATCCAAAATACCCAAAATAAGGCCAATTTGATTTCTACTTGCCCATTTTCTACATTTTTAAACAAATGACCAAGTTATTTCACATAATATGTCAATTATACTTAATTATAGGTGGCTAAGCATTGAAATCACAGAAAAAGGGCATTTTACTAAGTTTAAGGTCGCATTTTCATCCAAAATAACCAAAATAAGGCCTATTTGACTTCTACTTGCCCATTTTCTACATTTTTAAACAAATGACCAAGTTTTTTCTCATAACATGTCAATTACACTTAGTTAAAGGTGGCTAAGCCTTGAAATCATAGAAAAAGGGCATTTTACTAAGTTTAAGGTCGCATTTTCATCCAAAATACCCAAAATAAGGCCTATTTAACTTCTACTTGCCCATTTTCTACATTTTTAAACAAATGTCCTAGTTCTTTCTCATAACATGTCAATAATACTTAGTTATAGGTGGCTAAGCCTTGAAATCACAGAAAAAGAGCATTTTACTAAGTTTAAGGTCGCATTTTCATCCAAAATAGCCAAAATAAGGCCTATTTGACTTCTACTTGCCCATTTTCTACATTTTTAAACAAATGACTAAGTTCTTTCTCATAACATGTCAATTATACTTAGTTATAGGTGGCTAAGCCTTGAAATCACAGAAAAAGGGCATTTTACTAAATTTAAGGTCGCATTTTCATCCAAAATAGCCAAAATAAGGCCTATTTGACTTCCACTTGCCCATTTTCAACATTTTTAAACAAATGACCAAGTTCTTTTTCATAACATGTCAATTATACTTAGTTATAGGTGGCTAAGCCTTAAAATCACAGAAAAAGGGCATTTTACTAAGTTTAAGGTCGCATTTTCATCCAAAATAGCCAAAATAAGGCCTATTTGACTTCTAGTTGCCCATTTTCTACATTTTTAAACTAATGACAAAGTTCTTTCTCATAACATGTCAATTATACTTAGTTGTAGATGGCAAAGCGTTGAAATCATAGAAAAAGATCATTTTACTAAGTTTAAGGTCGCATTTTCATCCAAAATAGCCAAAATAAGGCCTATTTGAATTCTACTTGCCCATTTTCTACATTTTTAAACAAATGACCAAGTTCTTTCTCATAACATGTCAATTTCACTTAGTTATAGGTGGCTAAGCCTTGAAATCACAGAAAAAGGGCATTTTACTAAGTTTAAGGTTGCATTTTTATCCAAAATAGCCAAAATAAGGCCCATTTGACTTCTCCTTGCCCATTTTCTACATTTTTAAACAAATGACCAAGTTTTTTCTCATAACATGTCAATTACACTTAGTTAAAGGTGGCTAAGCCTTGAAATCATAGAAAAAGGGCATTTTACTAAGTTTAAGGTCGCATTTTCATCCAAAATACCCAAAATAAGGCCTATTTAACTTCTACTTGCCCATTTTCTACATTTTTAAACAAATGTCCTAGTTCTTTCTCATAACATGTCAATTATCTTTAGTTATAGGTGGCTAAGCCTTGAAATCACAGAGAAAGAGCATTTTACTAAGTTTAAGGTCGCATTTTCATCCAAAATAGCCAAAATAAGGCCTATTTGACTTCTACTTGCCCATTTTCTACATTTTTAAACAAATGACCAAGTTCTTTCACATAACATGTCAATTATACTTAGTTATAGGTGGCTAAGCCTTGAAATCACAGAAAAAGGGAATTTTACTAAATTTAAGGTCGCATTTTCATCCAAAATAGCCAAAATAAGGCCTATTTGACTTCTAGTTGCCCATTTTCTACATTTTTAAACAAATGACCAAGTTCTTTTTCGTAACATGTCAATTATACTTAGTTAAAGGTGGCTAAGCCTTGAAATCACAGAAAAAGCGCATTTTACTAAGTTTAAGGTCGCATTTTCATCCAAAATAGCCAAAATAAGGCCTATTTGACTTCTCCTTGCCCATTTTCTACATTTTTAAACAAATGACAAAGTTCTTTCTCATTACATGTCAATTATACTTAGTTGTAGATGGCTAAGCCTTGAAATCACAGAAAAAGGACATTTTACTAAGTTTAAGGTAGCATTTTCATCCAAAATAGCCAAAATAAGGCCTATTTGACTTCTCCTTGCCCATTTTCTACATTTTTAAACAAATGACCAAGTTCTTTCTCATAACATGTCAATTATACTTAGTTAAAGGTGGCTAATCCTTGAAATCATAGAAAAAGGGCATTTTACTAAGTTTAAGGTCGCATTTTCATCCAAAATAGCCAAAATAAGGCCTATTTAACTTCTACTTGCCCATTTTCTACGTTTTTAAACAAATGTCCAAGTTCTTTCTCATAACATGTCAATTATACTTAGTTATAGGTGGCAAAGAGTTGAAATCATAGAAAAAGATCATTTTACTAAGTTTAAGGTCACATTTTCATCCAAAATAGCCAAAATAAGGCCTTTTTGACTTCTACTTGCCCATTTTCTACATTTTTAAACAAATGACCAAGTTTTTTCACATAACATGTCAATTATACTTAGTTATAGGTGGCTAAGCCTTGAAATCACAGAAAAAGGGCATTTTACTAAGTTTAAGGTCGCATTTTCATCCAAAATAGCCAAAATAAGGCTTATTTGACTTCTACTTGCCCATTTTCTACATTTTTAAACAAATGACCAAGTTCTTTCACATAACATGTCAATTATACTTAGTTATAGGTGGCTAAGCCTTGAAATCACAGAAAAAGGGCATTTTACTAAGTTTAAGGTCGCATATTCATCCAAAATAGCCAAAATAAGGCCTATTTGACTTCTCCTTGCCCATTTTCTACATTTTTAAACAAATGACCAAGTTCTTTCTCATAACATGTCAATTATACTTAGTTAAAGGTGGCTAAGCCTTGAAATCATAGAAAAAGGGCATTTTACTAAGTTTAAGGTCGCATTTTCATCCAAAATAGCCAAAATAAGGCCTATTTAACTTCTACTTGCCCATTTTCTACATTTTTAAACAAATGTCCAAATTCTTTCTCATAACATGTCAATTATACTTAGTTATAGGTGGCTAAGCCTTGAAATCACAGAAAAAGGGCATTTTACTAAGTTTAAGGTCGCATTTTCATCCAAAATAGCCAAAATAAGGCCTATTTGACTTCTACTTGCCCATTTTCTACATTTTTAAACAAATGACCAAGTTCTTTCACATAACATGTCAATTATACTTAGTTATAGGTGGCTAAGCCTTGAAATCACAGAAAAAGGGAATTTTACTAAATTTAAGGTCGCATTTTCATCCAAAATAGCCAAAATAAGGCCTATTTGACTTCTAGTTGCCCATTTTCTACATTTTTAAACAAATGACCAAGTTCTTTTTCGTAACATGTCAATTATACTTAGTTAAAGGTGGCTAAGCCTTGAAATCACAGAAAAAGCGCATTTTACTAAGTTTAAGGTCGCATTTTCATCCAAAATAGCCAAAATAAGGCCTATTTGACTTCTCCTTGCCCATTTTCTACATTTTTAAACAAATGACAAAGTTCTTTCTCATTACATGTCAATTATACTTAGTTGTAGATGGCTAAGCCTTGAAATCACAGAAAAAGGACATTTTACTAAGTTTAAGGTAGCATTTTCATCCAAAATAGCCAAAATAAGGCCTATTTGACTTCTCCTTGCCCATTTTCTACATTTTTAAACAAATGACCAAGTTCTTTCTCATAACATGTCAATTATACTTAGTTAAAGGTGGCTAATCCTTGAAATCATAGAAAAAGGGCATTTTACTAAGTTTAAGGTCGCATTTTCATCCAAAATAGCCAAAATAAGGCCTATTTAACTTCTACTTGCCCATTTTCTACGTTTTTAAACAAATGTCCAAGTTCTTTCTCATAACATGTCAATTATACTTAGTTATAGGTGGCAAAGAGTTGAAATCATAGAAAAAGATCATTTTACTAAGTTTAAGGTCACATTTTCATCCAAAATAGCCAAAATAAGGCCTTTTTGACTTCTACTTGCCCATTTTCTACATTTTTAAACAAATGACCAAGTTTTTTCACATAACATGTCAATTATACTTAGTTATAGGTGGCTAAGCCTTGAAATCACAGAAAAAGGGCATTTTACTAAGTTTAAGGTCGCATTTTCATCCAAAATAGCCAAAATAAGGCTTATTTGACTTCTACTTGCCCATTTTCTACATTTTTAAACAAATGACCAAGTTCTTTCACATAACATGTCAATTATACTTAGTTATAGGTGGCTAAGCCTTGAAATCACAGAAAAAGGGCATTTTACTAAGTTTAAGGTCGCATATTCATCCAAAATAGCCAAAATAAGGCCTATTTGACTTCTCCTTGCCCATTTTCTACATTTTTAAACAAATGACCAAGTTCTTTCTCATAACATGTCAATTATACTTAGTTAAAGGTGGCTAAGCCTTGAAATCATAGAAAAAGGGCATTTTACTAAGTTTAAGGTCGCATTTTCATCCAAAATAGCCAAAATAAGGCCTATTTAACTTCTACTTGCCCATTTTCTACATTTTTAAACAAATGTCCAAATTCTTTCTCATAACATGTCAATTATACTTAGTTATAGGTGGCTAAGCCTTGAAATCACAGAAAAAGGGCATTTTACTAAGTATAAGGTCGCATTTTCATCCAAAATAGCCTAAAAAGGCCAACTTGACTTCTACTTGCCCATTTTCTACATTTTTAAACAAATGACCAATTTCTTTCTCATAACATGTCAATTATACTTAGTTATAGATGGCTAAGCCTTGAAATCACAGAAAAAGGGCATTTTACTAAGTTTAAGGTCGCATTTTCATCTAAAATAGCCAAAATAAGGCCTATTTGACTTCTACTTGCCCATTTTCTACATTTTTAAACAAATGACCAAGTTCTTTCTCATAACATGTCAATTATACTTAGTTATAGGTGGCTAAGCCTTGAAATCACAGAAAAAGGGCATTTTACTAAGTTTAAGGTCGCATTTTCATCCAAAATAGCCAAAATAAGGCCTATTTGACTTCTACTTGCCCATTTTCTACATTTTTAAAAAAATGGCCAAATTCTTTCTCATAACATGTCAATTATTCTTAGTTATAGGTGGCTAAGCCTTGAAATCACAGAAAAAGGGCATTTTACTAAGTTTAAGTTCGCATTTTCATCCAAAATAGCCAAAATAAGGCCTATTTGACTTCTACTTGCCCATTTTCTACATTTTTAAACAAATGACCAAGTTCTTTCTCATAACATGTCAACTATACTTAGTTATAGGTGGCTAAGCCTTGAAATCACAGAAAAAGGGCATTTTACTAAGTTTAAGGTCGCATTTTCATCCACAATTACCTAAAAAGGCCAATTTGACTTCTACTTGCCCATTTTCTACATTTTTAAACAAATGACCAAGTTCTTTCTCATAACATGTCAATTATACTTAGTTATAGGTGGCTAAGCCTTGAAATCACAGAAAAAGGGCATTTTACTAAGTTTAAGGTCGTATTTTCATCCAAAATAGCCAAAATAAGGCCTATTTGACTTCTACTTGCCCATTTTCTACATTTTTAAACAAATGACCAAGTTCTTTCTCATAACATGTCAATTATACTTAGTTATAGGTGGCTAAGCTTTGAAATCACAGAAAAAGGGCATTTTACTAAGTTTAAGGTCGCATTTTCATCCAAAATAACCAAAATAAGGCTTATTTGACTTCTAATTGCCCATTTTCTACATTTTAAAACAAATGACCAAGTTATTTCTCATAACATGTCAATTATACTTAGTTATAGGTGGCTAAGCCTTGAAATCACATAAAATGGGCATTTTACTAAGTTTAAGGTCGCGTTTTCATCCAAAATAGCCAAAATAAGGCCTATTTAACTTCTACTTGCCCATTTTCTACATTTTTAAACAAATGTCCAAGTTATTTCTCATAACATGTCAATTATACTTAGTTATAGGTGGCTAAGCGTTGAAATCACAGAAAAAGAGCATTTTACTAAGTTTAAGGTCGTAGCTCATCAAGATGTATGGTGTTGGAACAATGAGTCGCTATGTCAAGCATGAATCTCATCACGTATAATCCACAATCAACTCCATTATCTTGTTGTGGGCACTAGCATAGGAACAAATCAAATGAATCAAACGTCACATAAAACCCACAATTGTTTTAGCAATGTTTATTAAGATAATCACAATATGATGTGGCATTACCATAGGTGATTTCCATGTATGACCCCGTGGAGCACGACCATGTATCTTCTTCATAATACTATAGAAAAGTAAATTCAAATTTGATTAGTTTGACTACTAAATGAGTTAGGTTAAGATGTAGATAATTACTTACCCACATATGTACCCAGAGAACATGGAGAAGAAATGGACAGCCAAGATGTTCCTTAAATTCGAAAAAAAAAACATACATTCACCACCTAAGTGAGAGTAAACATTCAAGAATAGTCCCAACCGGGGACTATTCAAGACTTTCTCCTAATGAGAAAGCCTTGAACGGGTATCTAGGCATATGATGATGCAAACATTCAACATATTATTGTAATTATTTATTATTAAACAAGACACAACTTGTAATATCATGAACAAACTTTTATCAAATAGATAAATAGAAAGAAATATATATAGCTCCATAAAGTTTATAGTTCATACCAATATAGCAAGTATAATGGATGTAATGTCTCAAACTTCCCACTTGAATAGCTAATAAACTTGTGCTTCACTTCATAATATGAATCTACAAAAATAAAAAATAAAACAAAAAATAAAAGTTAGTAATTTTGTCAAGAACTATAAAACCACCTAAAATTACACATTAAAACATACAACCAAATTCAACTAATTAATTAACAAGGTTACTAATAATCTCTACTTTATTCAAAATTTCCTAATAAAACCTATCAATCAATTCAAAATTTCCTAATAAAACCTAACAATCAATTTAACTAAGAAACTCTCCAACATCCAAACAAATAGACACCAAGCGTGGTCTAAGATGTGTATTTTCGGAAATTAGAGTTCATTTTAACATTTCTAATTCTCAATTATCGTGTGGAGGTCATACAGTTGTCAGTTATGCTAATATTTTAGTACAGAAATCACAGATTAGTTGAAATCTGCCATGTTCCTTCGCATCAACAAAACTACAAAACTACTAAGTGCAATTCTCTTTAAAGTACTTCAAAAAGAGATATAGTGAGAGGTCCAATTCTCTCCCAACTATTGTGTCTTCTTCTCCACTTTCAAATTTTTAATTGTTCTTGTTTGTTCATCTTAATCACTTTCATTATATTGCCACTATTCACTCTAAAAACAATAATACAAAACTAAGATATCAGATAACAACTACAGCCACAAATGCTTGAACACATAATTTAACTTACATTCCGGTTAATATTGCAATAAAAAAATCTTAATATGAAGCGATGATAAAAAATAAAAAAAATCAAAATAACATAAATAGTAAGTAAATACTCTGAATGTGCAAGAGTCTTTTCTTTCTTTGTTTTTATTTATTTCTAAAGAAAGCAAACCGAAAGATACTACAAAGTATAACACAAGCACACAACATCATGTAATATGTCATCAGAAAGATATAGGTCACATCTTTACCTCAAAATATATTATGCCGTTTGTTGCTTTGACAAAAGCACCAAGAGAAGATGATTCTACACCAGCTACTGGTTTGACTTGTACAAATAATTTCTCTGCCAATCACCAAAATATCAAGTAATTGCAGTTTTTTTTTTTTTTCAATTAACCTAATTCATGAACAAATAATCAATTTGTTGCATTCTAAAGATACACACAATTAATCAATTTCTTGCATTCTAAAGATGCATTCTCTCAACTTTTAACCCTAACAACAACAACAAAAAAATCAGAAATTCAGAAAAAATTACCGTCAAGTAATTGCAATTTTGAACGGTGGCTGTGGGATGGTGGTGCCGTGGCTGTGGGATGGTGGTGCCGTGGCTGTGGGATGGTGGTGCGGTGTCTGTGGCGTCAGTGCGGACAGGTGGTGGACGGACCACGCACCTGGTCAGTGGTGGAGGGAGTTCCCCCGAAAATTCGAATTTCGCCCTGTGGTGCGCGCTGCTTTGCTCACTGGTGGAGGAGGTTCGGAGGGAGTGCGGAGGTGGTGGAAGGTGGTGCGGCGTCGCTGGTGGAGTGTGTGGTGGTAGGGTTTGGATGGTGGTGCGGCGTCACTGGTGGCTCGTACTACTGGAGTTTTGCTTTGAAGAATAAAACAGTGAAGTATATGGGAAAAGAGAAGAAGAAGCTAAAGGGCCGCGCGTTTTATATATTCAAAAATTGCCACCGGTTCAAAACCGGTGGCCTTAAGCATTATTGCCACGGCCACGGGTTCGGTTTGAACCGGTGGCAATAATAAATACCTTACTCGCGGACATTTTTTAAACCACCGATTTTCAAAAACCGGTGGCCTTTAAGCGGTGGCCATTTCAATTTTTCTACTAGTGATTCAATCTTCTTTGGGGTTGAATGCAGGGCTTATAGTTATCCTCTAAATGTATCCTGTGCATACAAAAATTAGGGCTAATACCCTTGAGATCATCAATACTGTACCCAATTGCTTTCTTATGGGTTTGAAGAACCCCTAGAAGTTGGGAAGTTTGTAGGTCATTGAGTGCAGTACTAATGATCACGGGGTATAGTTCCTGTTCATCCAGAAATATATATTTTAAATGAGAAGGGAGCGGTTTTAGTTCAGGTTTCTTGACCTCTGCAAGTTTCGATTCCTCAACTAAATTTACTACCTTCATTGTTTCCTTGGGGTCTAACTCTTTTAAGGAAAGAGCTCTTTCGACATCCTGTACTTCATTACCCCAAACGCTTGCATTGTCTGTAGATAAATTCCCACAAAGAATTTCCTCCAGGGGATCCCTTGCAAGAACCTGTGGCAAGCTATTATCACAAATATCGTCCATTATATCAATTACATCAATATAACAACAATTTTCCTCTAGCATAGGCCCTTTCAAAACTTTCCCTAAATTAAAGGTAACATTATCATCACCAACAGAAAGGGTTAGTTTACCATTTTTCACATCAATAATAGCTCCTGCAGTATGGAGGAAAGGCCTACCTAATATAATGGGTATTTGTGTATCCTCTGCCATGTCTAAAACAACAAAATCGACAGGAATAAAAAATTTACCAACTTTGACAGGGACATCCTATAAAATACCTAGGGGGATTTTACAGAACGATCTTCCATTTGCAAAGTGATATTAGTAACTTTTAATTCTCCCATATTGAGTTTAGCATAGACAGACGATGGCATAACACTGACACTAGCACCCAAATCACACAAAGCTTTATCAATAAAAAACATTCCATATATGACAAGGGATAGAAAAACTACCGGGATCCTTCAATTTAGGAGGGGATTTATTTTTCAATAAGGCGCTACACTCCTCTGTGAAAGCTACAGTTTCTACTTCATTAAAGGCCCTTTTCCTAGTAAGAATGTCTTTCATAAATTTAGCATATGCAGGAACCTGAGTGATAAAATCAGTGAAAGGAACTATTACCTACAGATTTTTCACAACCTCTAAGAACTTGCCAAATTGTTTATCAAACTTACTCTTCAATTGTCTATTAGGGAACGGTAGTTTGATAACCGGGCTCTGCACATCTCCTCCTTTATCCTGAGATTTACCCTGCACAGAAACATTAGAAGGGTTAGTATCTGTTTGTAGCCCTGCAGGGTTAGCAGGATTAGCGTTTGGTATAGAGGAATCTAGATCAGGAACTGGTCCATCTTCCTTCGACATAGGAGGTCCATCATAATGTGAACCACTCCTTAGAGTGATTGCATTGGCATGATCTGTAGGATGGATAGGTTGTGATGGTAGAGCTCCCTGCTGACGGGATTGTAGGGTAGATGAAAGTTGTGCAATTTGATTATCCATAATTTTATTGTGAGCTAAAATAGAATCAATTTGCGCATCCCTACTCTCCATCTGCTTTTGCATATTAGTAAGCATTGCTCTAATTTCTGTCATGGCATGGTCAGAAGATGATGAGGATTGTACTTGGCTTTTCTGGCTAGAATTAGGATGGTAATAATCCTACTGTGGAGGGGGTTGCTGTTGTGGTTTTTGTGGAGGTGGAGGGTTTTGTAGATTGGTGCTCCGGTATGAAAGATATGGATGGTTCCGGTAGCCAGGATTAAAAGAGTTGGAATATGGGTTATTTTGCCTATAGGTTTGGAAGGTATTAACTTGTTCCATGGAATTCCTACAACCTTGCTCCCAATGCCCTACAATTCCACAAATTTCACAAAAAGCTTCATTGTTAGCAACAGCAGAAACATTAGCTACAGAGTTAGGAGTAGTAGTAAGATTTTCTAAATTTTGACAAATAGACGTTAATTGAGCTTACAAAAAGGATACAGAATCGACATTATGTTTTCCTTTATTTGCAAACCCTCTCGGATTCCCGTATTGGGAATTGTGTATTGCCCTATCTTCGATAACCTGTCCTGCATCGTCCACATTTAAATTCATGAATCTCCCACTGGCTACAGAATCTAGAATTGATCTAGATGAATTTTCAAGTCCATTGTAGAAAGCTTGGATCAATTGCCATTGTGCTAGATTGTGGTGGGGGCATTCTCTCTGTAGATCCTTGAACCTCTCCCAAGCCTCATATAAAGTTTCATCGGCCTCTTAAGCGAAGTTCTGAATAGCACTCCTTAGAACCGCTGTTCTCTCTACAGGATAATATTTATTATAGAAATTCAAAGCAAGAGTTTCCCAGTCAGTAATACCAAGTGCAGTTCTATTCAAAACATTAAACCATAATTTAGCTTTTCCACATAATGAAAAGGGAAAAAGAATCTCCCTGATTTGGTCCTGCGTAACCCTGGCTTGTCTAATGGTGTTACAATACTGGCAGAAATCTGCAATGTGAAGATTAGGATCTTCACCCTTAGCTCCACTGAATTGCTTCCTATCTATCATAGTGATAAATTGTGGCTTGATCTCAAATTGAACTCCATCTAGAGCCAGAGTGGGAGTAAGGTGCGGGAAATCTGTGAGCTTCGGTTGCGAGTAGTCACTGAGTTTCTTTTGGGTTGTTGTAGGGAATAAATTTCAAGCGTTAATCCCCTTGCTTGAACCCCACTGTGATCATACACTAAAGTACGGTGGCATCCAAAAGGGAAGAAGATAGAGAAAAAGAGTCGCCAACAAGTTTTAGGAACTTGTAAATCGTTCACAGGGTGAAGGTTACACCCCTTAACGATCCAAGAGATCGTCAACTCCATAAGGTCTAGAACCAAATAAGGGTTCGGGGATGAAGGTACAAATCCAACCTAAAAGAGATTGAACCTGCCCTAATAATAGGCCTCTACTTTATTCTGATCGTATTCATGTGCGCTTTTTAATTAACATACAATCAATAGGAATAACCCTAAACCTGTTTAATCTATGTTGGTTGAATATTAATGCACAAATAAATCTATTATTGGCGATCACTTGAAATTATAATCAAATTAACCCTAACAAGATTATTAAATATCTTATTAAGCGTGATTACAAGTACTAATTCCCTTTAAACATGAATAAAAGGTGTGATCAAGCAATAACAATATATATCAAGCAACATAATAATATTAAATATCATGACAATAAAATTATAATCATCATCAAGATAATAATAATCATAAAAATAATAATCATAATAATCGTCATAAATAAAATAATAATAATCAAAATAATAATAATAATATTCATAATCATCATAAATTATAACAATTATAATCATAATCATGCTCATGTTAATATTAAAGCATAATAATAGCAAGATCCTAGGCATGATACTAACAAGATTAATAACAAATCCTAGCATGTCACTAAGCAATAAAAATCAAATCTTTAGACCTAACATGATACTAACAACCATAAATATTAGGAAGAACATAGGAGGCAACATAGAAATCATATTTAATATTAAAATTACCCTAGACATGATACTAGGAATATCATAATAACAATCTAAACATG